TCCTCTACAATTTGTGTTTTATAAGGCTGCTTTTTTTAACCGAAATCATGTTGTGTGCTTATAATGTGGGATCACGCGGTGAATGCACGAAAAAAAAGCTGCAAAAACGTTTCGTGTTTTCAAGGCATCGCGAGCCGGAAAAATGCAAGAAAATCACATGAAGCGATTAGGTTTTTTTGCTATTGTTTTGTTTTTCGACACATGAAACCTTAAATGACGCGAAAAAAAAGTTGTTTATAGAGATATTTCCGAAGCTAATTCATGTTGTTTTGACTGCGTACGCATTTTTGTCGTGCATCATGAAAACATAGCATGTTACTAAAGACAACAACAATTGAAAAATCCAAATCGACTCGTCTAATAATACTTATTAAAGTGATGTTTTTTAGCGTGTTTGTTTGCAAATTGAAGATTATTGAAACTCTTGCATGTACTTATTTCATATTTGATAACATATAAAAGGTCATACATGAAGAGAGCTACATATTATAATTTTTTTTTGGGAGCGCAAAGCTATAGTTTCGCGATGATTTAACCAAAATACCGCGCTTTTTTTTTTCAAAATTCGACTAAAACATATGGTAACTATTAATAAATACCGTATTAGCATATCTTGTTCGGTTTTTTTTAAACACCATGCGGAATATTCTAAAGAGATGGAGCTTTTATGGTATATATGGTATATGGTTTGGTGTTTAATCCAAACCGTTTAATGCAATGTTCGACTCGAATGGTGAAAAATTCCTTCGTTGTCGAACATCGTTTTCCATTAATGTCCCTGATTTGAACCTTGATTTCATAATATCTGTAAGTTTATGATGCATTATATAACTGTCGAGAGTTTCATTCATTACAGAGCATGATGTTAATTTTCCTAAGATAAATCTTCAGAAATGAAGTAAAGATCCATTGCTGCCAAATGTTTATTCTGCTTATTTCCAATCACTTCAAACAGAAAAATGAGAAAAAAAAAATGACATTTGACTATAAAAACATATATATTAGTTCTTACTTCTAATATGATGCTCTTAACTTGCCTGATAGCTAACATTGGCAAATATTATCAAAATAAAGATAAAACACAAGAAAAAAAAAATCCAAAAAATCGTCTCGTACTTTCCTGAACTCAGAACATCATAAGCCCCCAAACCAACTGCATTTATTATTTGCAATTGTGACAATTTACAATTTCGCCGGAAGAATATTCTACAACGGCCACTTTCGAACAACTTTCATCATATGTAAATTGAAAGAAAAATCGAGCTAAGTACATCCTACCTCAATTCGCCACACAATATAGAGATGAGATGATGTGTTCATAAAGATATGATATCAAACTCATGAGGCATGTAATCTTCACCCGGTCTGTAGTACTTATCAGGTGAATAGAGGCTCAAATTGGATACTTGGCTGGTATAGAGGCAAGCAAATCTTTCCACCTGATAGTATGCATGAAAAACAAAACAATGCTTGAAAAATAATCGAAAAGAAGGCAAGTNTAATAACAATAGCAAGGATTATAATGAAATGAAATACCGTGAATAAGTCGGATAACTAGTAAACGACGATCACTTCTTAGTTCTTACCTTCTGGTGGCATTCTCGTTGAGCTTCTTGATGACTCAGCCGTACCAACTCCAGCTGAGACTGACACGATTGCAAGTATTAGTGTATTACACAAGATCATGGTTTCGTTTTTCTTTTTGTTTTTTGTTTTTTTTGTAAGTTTTACGGTAATATTACTTTTCCAGACTAGAAAAAATCTGAAATATCTTCAGCCAGACTTCAACAGTTGATAAAAATAATTTATTTTGTTTCACTGTAAAATACACTAACCTGGAATTTGTCAAGCTCAGCAGCTATCTCTTCCTTGTTCACAAAATTTACACCATCAAACCTGATCAACATCAGTAAACATAAAAGGGGTGCCTCAACATACTTGTTATTTGAAAAAAAAAGAAAAATAAAATAAAATGAAAGATCCACATCACTACTTTAAGAAACAAAATTTAGAAAAAAAATGGTAAATTTTTCACACATAAAAGAATAAGGTGCCTCAACATACTTGTTTAAGAAAAGGTGAAATAAAATAAAATGAAAGATAAGGTGCCGTGTTACCTGAGAGACCACTTCAGGTGATGTATCTGGTCTTCAATATTGTCACGCTCGTTCCTCAATAACTGAAGTTTCTACATGTATTTAACAGCAAACTGAACATTAGATATAAATGAGATAAAGTAACAACATTGAAATGAGGTTAAAGAAAAGACACTTTTTTTCGAATGGCATAGCATTTGGGCATCCTCTTGACAAATTACTGCAAGATATAAGATTTTGTAAAAATCAGAATACTGCTTATACCTTGCGGGAATCCCTCAATGTCCACAGAAGTTCGACTTCTTTCTCAAGCTCAGGAACAACGAGCATTGTTCTCCAACCTACAAAAAGTGGTATGACCTCAAATCAGTCTGCAGAAGTAAAAACAAAATTAAGAATTTGATAATTATCATGATACTAATATGACAATTATGAAAGAAACAACAGTGATTTATTTGGCGAAACAGCTGAGCAGTACCAATTATAACAAAAATCGATTTCTAATTTTGTTCTACACACAGCAAGCAATCATAGAATTCAGGATTTGATAATTAGCAATTTACAGCAGCCTAACTTCCTTGCGAACAACAATACACTCTTACTTCTAGCTTGATACAAAGAATTTCCATGGTAAACATGAACAATGCTAATGTCAGCTAGAAACAATTTCCTAGAAGCAGCCCGAGTGTTACAGGAAGTACCGTCTCTCAGCAATCAAATAAAATATGAATCAAAGGGATATAAGATTAAAGCAAAATCCCAATATCAAGTGTAAATAAGAAAATGCAATTGATATGGTTAAGAAAAAACTAAACAAGCACAAAAATGAAAAAAATTGAGGACATACCTAGAACTTTTTTACTGCGTAAGATATCTCCATATATATGATCTCCAACGTAAAGTACCTGAAGATCAGACATCAAGTGTGAGCAAAGCTCCCAATCCGTTAATAAACCCAAGGTGACAGCACAAAAAAAATATGTCTTTACACACTATATATTTCAGGAAAACTTTACTTCTCCCGAAGTTCCTTGAGAGCATTCAAAGTTAATAACACATTCAGTCTTCAGACAACAGATTTTTTATTATAATTTAAATTGCTCATCCTTTTCAAATTTCAGTAGGTATTTGGTCCAGGGTGTGATTGGGAATGTTAAGAAAGAATCAGTTCAACTCTTATCGAAATTGTGACACCTCGGCAAAACCTTAAAAAATGACAAAAATAAATGGGGGTGTGATGGTACATTGTATGGCTTCCATTATGCATTTACGCCACTTTATAGCAGAAGAGAGAGTAATCACAATTCAGTATATCATTCAAATTTTGTAGTGTCTGCAAAACTAAAGCTTTTACACTAAGGTAATTTGCACTTTGCCCAACATTTAAAATGTTGTACATGCCACTCAATCAGTATCTCAAACAGCATTTTTACAGACTGCAATACACCATCATAGATAAATTTGACCTCCAACACAAATAAACCCAAAAAATGGATGATGGAAAGGGTATTCACTGCAGAGTACCTGGGAGCTTGACTCTATAGAGAGCAACTTATGTAGATGTCCAACATTTCCTCCCTGGAAATAAAAATTCTTTATATGAAGACGATGGTCTGAATTGACCACAAAATCAACAATTAGAGGACAATTGGCTTAAATACAACATGACTTCTCTTTTTTCACTCAACAACATAACTGAAGTTAGTTGTAGGAATATAAGCACACCTGGAAAACTTGGGAACTTTTATCTAAGCTCTTCAAAGGCAACCTTAGAGAAGCGTCTACCTGGTTAAATCAATGGCGAACTAGATACCTTAAGGAACATTTATTATATCTCATTTTGAAAGACAGAGGAGATGTAAAACAGACCTGAGGCATAGGAGTTCCATTATCGGTATTAAGAAGCATTCCTGACTCAGGTTCAACTTGAAAAAGATTAGCACGGTTTTCATCATGGAAAAAACCTGGTTTTGCACTGTTGAAAAGAGGATAATATGTTACGGACATATCGTTCAATAGGCAGGCAAGAGAACAATTTGCTCATTCATCAGTCACCAATGAGTTCGGTGCAACTGTTTGAAGGGTATACAATAAGATTAACCCTTCCACACACAAGCCCATGCACACACACACACACACACACACACACACATATATGCGAATATTTATTATATAAAATTATTAACACATCATACAAAATTGTGAAAGCCAAAGGATGCGATCAAATAATTAATAAAGAAGGACGTCAAATATCAATACGAAGATATTTCACAAAATCTAGTGATTTTCTTTAATGTTAAAAACACTAGAAACCTGATTGTTAGACTATGGTATCAGCTCATGTTTCTCCTTCTTCCTTGTGAAGGTGTCCCAGCGATAAACTAAATGGAGGTCAGCATATTTGCTTATTAATTTCGACAAAAGTCTTCAAGTATCAAGAAACCTCATTACCTTCCAGTAATAATGACATCAAAATATCGAAGCCAATCAAAACTCAAAGAAGAGTCGCCGGAGCCCTCATCACCTGATCTTGGTCCACAAAGGAAGTTCATTACAATATTGGTATAATCCCATAGGCTGCACATGAAACCAAAAAAAAAAAGAAGAAGATTTAGATAGACCAATAAAATGTAATCTTACAGCACACATGCTAATCAACATAATATTATCGTGAAGAAGAGAAGAGATTTTGTGATTTTTGGAACATGCAAATAGACTAGGCTTATGGTAAAAACATAAATAAAAAACCTGTTGGTCACTAGAAATGTGGCACGGCCAGAATCCCTAAGCATCTTCAGCATAGGCACAATTGAGGAGTCCTCATTTATATACCTGACGAAATAAGCTTTCGCAAGTCAAGATTCAAGATCAGAAAATTCTAGGTTTGTCATCAATATAAGTTGAAATTAGTAGACAACAGCTGCACGTGATTATAATTCGTAGAGGTAACTAATTGTCTGTCTATGAACACGGATGATGACGAAAAATAACCATATGTAAATTATAACAACCTACATCAAACAAGCATTAACAACCATTATATGTATGTGTACCNTGTACATTAAAATAAATTAAAATTATATATAAATAATAGAAAGAAAATACATGCAAAAAGTCACGGCGAGACAATCTGTCGGTGGGTTGAAACTGCAGAAACTAACGACGGGAAAAGGAATAGTTTATAGTAGGATGACTGTATGGGATCATTTAATGATGGATAAACGTCACCATTTAAAATTGAATATATACCTTCACTAGACTTACCAACTGATGATCCATCATAAATTGTCAACCGCCCATCATTTAATGATGGGTAAACGACACAATTTAAAATTGAAGATAAACATTTACTAGACTTACCGACTGATGATCCGTTGCAAATTGTCGACCACCCATGTTAAACATTGCATTGTGAAAAGCATTTATATAAAATTTTAAATTACCTTTTAGGATCCTTTGCGACCATCTTCTTTAATGTCCCATCACGATGACACAAATCAACTGCAGCTCGAACATCTTTGTACATGCGAGAGTAGCTGTGACATCATTTTGCGCAAGGATAAGATGACATCAACATAATTCTTTAACTCAATCAATATTCAATAAAGCATTCATATTCAGTGAAGCTAATAACTCAGATTTTCATTAGCTCGTTTCTTTTATATAACTTCTTGGTTTGTTATGCTCAATTGACCCTTCTATTTACATTTTAAATTATGCAAACTGCCAAAAGGATGAGCGACATAATGTCTTTTAACCTTCTGGAAATCAAGGTACCATTGATTAACAAGATCAATTCAGATATTTTACTACACTGGGAGAGAGAGAGAGAGAGACCGGAGAAGAGAACGGATACTCTTTAAATTGAACAGCTCTCCCTAAGAAACTCAAAAGTGGTATTGCTATAATGTCAGGCTTAAATAGAATAGTTTTCTCAGCAAACAACTGCAGTCAACTACTGATTTATCTTTCTTCTGCTTTATATGTACAAGTGATGATTCAAATCAGAATAGCCTGCCCTTTGCTTCGGACCTTCGCCGCCAAGAAGAACCCAAATGAGATGAGGTTTCCACATTGCTCTTAAAAGATTAGCAATTAATCTTTTCCTAAATACAGGGAAATGATGCTATATTTCATTATCAAGCAATGCAACACCTTTTAAAATATGACGGCACCGAAAAATGATGGTAAAAGGCTGATATTACCAAACAAGTCCACATTCACCATCAAGTTGAGATCTCCAAATGGTCATTGTAACCAATAAAAGAAAGTTTGAAGTTGTTTGGAAGATGGAGTACTCTGATGAATACTGTGAATCAGTGCGCGTATTTATTTAACCACCCAAATAATGTGCCATTACCGGTAAACATGTTCACAAAATAGTTAAGCAACCACTGCTCAAACCAAATGAAACCACAGATATTGGTAGTCAATTAATAATTGTTCTCCATACCATTTTCACTGTGACAAATAGGGATAAATATAAAAACTACCAATGAGGTTTAGTCTAATTACAAAACCAACATCAACAGTCTTTGAAAATTACAAATAACCCCTCAAAGTTGGTGTTTGTTATACTACCGCCCTCCCTCCCAATAGGTTCAACTTTATAAAAATATAAGCATAAATTGGAGGATATTTGTAATTGTGAAAAATGACTTGGGTCTCCTATAATTAGGCTGAAATCGAAGTGTACTATTATAATTCTTTCCAGGAATTTACTGTGGAAACTGTCTTACTCTGCTTGGATTTTTCCAGGATTCTTATCCTTAAAGTCAACAAGTTGCGCAAACAAGTATGCTTCAGCCAGAGAGAAGAGAGTATCAATCAGAGCATATTCAGGCTCATCAAATGCTTCACGGATCAATCTGCTTCCATATGCAGCAACCTTTTCTTCCTTTGACAGCTCCGTGAATCCATGATAAGCCACCTTAACATATTTATGCCGATCCATCTGTGAATATGGGGGAAAATGTCCAAGTCAATGATAGCAGAATCCAACTGGCAAAGGATAATTTGCAGAAGAGAAGCCTATTATTAATAAGAAAAGTACTTATGCTCATAACAGAGCAATATAAACCTTCAGTATGTTGCCCCTCTTTTTGTCCAGAACGAGTCCTCTGACCATGTAAGTCCAGTCAAAAGACCACTCCAGTAGCTAAATGAAAACAGTTATGTTAAAAAAAAATCAGAGATCCTTATATTGGATTAGAAAAAGAACATGCCTATGATATATCGTCCCTTTAAATTTCATTTGCATTTGCTTGATCGGCTTGGAGGAAATAAATTCAAATTCTAGGAAGGTTCTCGAAAAGATTTTTCTCGAGTACTTGAACATATATACGTGTGCGTGAGTATACAATTAATAATCGCCAATAAATGGAATCAACTGTTTTCATTTTTCAGTTCATTTTTGCTCGGAAAGTGTTGGACCAATTAAAATAAATAAAAACCACTGAAAAGACAAACCTCTGTAGGGTATCCCAAATCATTAACCAGCTTTTTAACTGTGCCTTCGTAGGCAAGTGACTCAAACGTCTCTGGCTTGTATTGTGCTAAAGTGTAATCCATGTCGAATCCAACAGCAACTATATTCCTCATGTTTAGAGATCTATTACAGAAGATCTTCTTTCCTATATCTATCTTTTGTCTTCCTTCTGGAGATGACCACACATGAAGATGTTTATCAGCCTCACTGCGGGTAGGCCTCTCAAACTGTACAGTCTCACTATCCATACTATTGTTGTAGTGAAGTTTATTATTACTTGGCACTGTACAAAAACAAAATAGAAACTGTACTTAGAATAGAAGCACACTAGTACACTACTGCTATCCACCCACAGCATCAATATTAACACAAACAACAACAAAGCACCAGTGAAGCTGGTGCTAATTTTCTACTGTGAAGAAGATAAACTCGGTTCTCTAAACACAGGTTTAGATTAGCAAACCCATCAAATCATCCATATATTTCCTAATCTAAATTGCATGCTAGATTTTCACCATAATAAATCTAGATTACTAGCAGCCCAATTGCTGAAAGAGGTATCTTGAAAAAAGATGGAAGAAATTCACACTCCAAAATAGCTAACATAAAAAAATTGCCTCGAGATCATTCACCCATGTTAGCAACCAATAACCCACCATTCCCTAGCATTCAAAAACCTCCAAACAGAACGAGGCACGCAAAATTGTTCAGAATTCACCCAAAAGCAGATAAACATACAAAAGAGGAGCGCAAGCTCAAGCTCACCCGAAGGAGAACAAACCTGCGGTATAACAAACCTTCCTTCCACCCTCGAACCGATCGAAGATCGACGAACAGAAAAACCGGAAATCGAAACGCGAAATCCTCGGAGAAAATCGAGAAGACGAAAAAGGGAAAGGGGCGAAGAACGAGGAGACGCAGAGAGAAAGCGACCACCCTCTGGCAACGCGCATCTTCACATTAAATAGACATTTTTTCTCGACCGAGAGACGAATATCCAGCGCCAATACCGATCGAAAACCGTCAGCAGAACCTGATACCCATTCTCCCTTTTGAACCACCGACGAAAGCATTAATTGAACTGATTTTCACCTCAAGATTTGTCCTAGATTTCAGGCCTCTTAACCCACCCAATTTTTTTTTTCTTTTGTTCTTTTTTACGCGAATATGCTGAGCATTTTCAGGCATCCCATTCCGGTTCCGGAAAGAATCTGATTCGAACTCCCGCCACGTGGCGGCAGAGCGTGGTGGTGCCTACGGTGGCGGCAGCGTCGTAAGGGCGCGAGCCGGCTGAGCTTGAGCTGGCGGTGGTTGAGAGGTTTTGCCGTTTTGGCTCTATTCGGAATTTTTACTTTATTTAATTATTTTCGCTGAGTCGTAACGGAAAATTTTGACAGTTGGCGACGGGAAGAGGCGCGTGAAATTACGCTCGGCGTATTTTAGCACTAGTGAGGTGGTGGATTGGGACTGAGGCTTTATTCCCTGCCTCGAAAATGTATTTTTCATTTATTTGGTGTTATCCAACATTGCAACTTTTATATCCTTTTCCTCGTTTATTTTGACCAGTACTTCATCGTATATAAATAAAATATTATATATATTATATTTAAAATTATAAAAAGGAAAAACACGTTTTTGCCGTGCCCAAATCCACATGACTCGTAAAATTATAAAAAGGAAAAACACGTTTTTGCTGTGCCCAGATCCACATGACTCGTGTGGTATATCACTCAAGTCACATGACTCATGTGAAATTATAGAGAGTTAAACTTTAGAATCATTCTGCTCGACATGACTCGTGTCAGAAGTCACATGAGTCGTTTGACAAATAAGTAATTGAAACTCTAATTTTTGGGTAACTTTGAGCTCCTGGTATGTTTTACAATATCCCAGAAGGCTCTCAGTGATCGGGCAATGCGCAGGTGGTGAGCATGGCATGAAAAATATTTGAAATATAACATATAAAGCATAAGTTGAACAAATAAAGATTACACGTTATTGAATATTTATATATACAAATGAACTTGTTGTTTTATTTATTAAAAATTAATATTTTTCAATCTCTTTTTATTTGTAACTCAATAAACAATATAAATATGTCAATTAATATAAATAATTTAGGCTACTTATTTAACGCTGTCCTACAGTCTTTACAAAAATTTCCAAAAGTAGTATCATTTAAATTTGTCCAAAATCTTTGCTACTTATTTTTGTTAAATGTTAATCTCTTTACTTATATATATATATAGAGAGAGAGAGATTTTCGTATGAGATCAACTATTTATTCAAATGTCTTAGTTTAACTAGTATTGATAAAAGCTGAAAGTCATGTTGNGTTTAAAAACAAAAATTTTGGTGGTGCAAAAATAAATTTAAAAGAGGGCAAATTAAATTTTTTAATAATAATAGTAAAAAAATTAAAATTTGAGGGGGCAATTGCCCCCCCTATCACTAATGTAAATTTGCCTTTAGTGTATATTTTTTCATTTTTATTCCTCAAAACATTGTATACAGATGGATCAGACCCTAATAAATTATATATAATTGTTAAATTCTAGGAGAAATTATTTAATTGAAAGTGGTAATTTTGCATTGGGGAAAAAAATGATAAGATAATATTGGGGCAACTGAAAGTTAGAAGGTTATTCCAATATATATTGTGGTATTGAGCAAATAAATCAGAGTGGCGCAGCGGAAGCGTGGTGGGCCCATAACCCACAGGTCCCAGGATCGAAACCTGGCTCTGATAAGAGTGGCTTCCTCTGATTTAACTTTTTAATATTTTAAAATTATTAACTTACAAATATATCTTAATCAGTCTACAACTTAAACAAAGCAGGGGATGTAGCTCAAATGGTAGAGCGCTCGCTTTGCATGCGAGAGGCACGGGGTTCGATCCCCCGCATCTCCACATGACACCAATTTTAATTTTTCTTTTTTTTTTTTGAATTTCTTTTTCCAATTTGGATCATCAGCTCACCGTTGACGTTGAACCGCACAACCACCACGACACCGCCGCTCATCGCTCCCTAATCTCCTCCTGCACCCCCTCCGCCACCTCTAACATCTCCACAATAGTCGCCGGACCATTATCCTGCCAAAGCCGAACAACCTCCCGCTGTAGCGCAGCCGTTTTCCTCTCCCGTCAGCCGTAGAGCAGAAGAAGAAGTCCGCCATATAATATTTCTCTTAGCTCCGGTTCAATCAGCCTACATTTTACCGAGTAATTTTGTACCGTTTGTTATTTCGACTATCTGTGTTTAATTTAGTGAAAAAAGAAGCTGAGTTTGGTAAGAATAATGTGGAAGAATGTTTGTGTTCCTCAGGACATGAATTCATTCGATGAATTTCAAGCCAATTCTGGAGTTGAGGTGACAACTGCTATTTCTAGTGCTTGAGCTTTTTGACTTGTCCAAATAGCAATTGTTTTGGTACTTGAACTAACAGAATCGGTTTGCTCGAATCTCTTCGTTATCCATGTTAGGCTTCCATATTCAAGGCAATCAAACATATCAAAATTAAGTACTACATTTGGATTTATTAGTGAAACTTAGATTTACATTGACATGTTTTGTTGAAAATGGAGAATAAAAAAGATTTATTTTCTTCATTATCTGATTTCAAATCAGAAGTTATTATATGCACTTCGAGAAAAAAGGTTTTGAAATGGAAACATGCAAAGCCAGTGATGCAACAGCTGAATCTTCAGGAACAAAATTTAGATTCTATTCAACAGCTGTGTAGTTCTACTTTCTAGTTCACACAATACAACAACAACATAGTCTTTTAGTCCCAAGTAAGTTGGGGTAGGCTAGAGATGAAACCCAAGCCTACCCCAATATGTCTTTAATTTTATTGTGTGAACTAGCAAGTTGGGGTAGCCTTTCTAGTTCACACAATATGTCTTTAATTTTATTTTGCATTTGAATCAGTGTCCACATAGCAAAAGCAGCTTGGTGAAGAAGAGGTGAGTGAATGGAGATAACATGAAGAAATTTATGCTCTAACTTCATTTGCTTATAGTGATTCTTAATACTATCTTATAGGTCTGCACGTTCTGGCTGATTGTGAACAATGCTTCATCTTCGCTTGCCGATAGGGACCAAATTCCAATCAACTCCAAAGCTGAATCCAAGCTGAATGATCTCATTATGTATATGTATATCTCCTTCAGGACAGTTCTGATAATGGCTCTGACTTGCTCTAGCATTTTTCTTCTGCTCATGTCTTCTTTGGTTTACTGTAGATCATTTGTTTCTCTTAATGGCATGGGCCGCATGGAAAAGGGAAAGAGGCTATCAGCTTAATTCAAACAGGTATACAAAGGTGCTGGATAGGATAATTCTGGCAAAGTCTCTGAAACTGGCTAAGAGTTCGTAATTGAAACTTATCTTATTTTTTGAAAGGAAAAAAATTGCTGATGCCATTAAAGATACAATATCTTCACTAAATGACTTTGAGCAAGCTATCAAATATTGTCTCCAAGTCTGATGATGTTACTTTGACCTCTTTCGAGCTTAAACAAATGAATGATGGAGTTTGTAACTTCTAACCATAACTAAGAAAACACCGCCTACTTTTGTATTTTATACCTTGTGATTGAACTAAGTTTGATCTGGTGAGCCAGAGGCCTGCAACAAATAAAGCCTGCTGCATGGTGTCCCATCTTCTGGGTGAGTCTTGGTCGATCTGGGTAAGGCCCGTAGCCTGTTGAATAGACTTAATGGGTCCTGCAAAAGCCCGAAATTTGCATCCGGGTCCCCAATCTGTGAAAGCTTGACCAGGGAAAACCCTAGGGATGGCAGCAGCTGATCCGGCCAGTCACAGTGGAAATGGAAGGTGGGGCCCGAGAGCAAGGCTGCCTGCTCGTTCATGAAGTCTGCCAGGAGCACTGTGTTTGTGAGGCTGCATTTGTCTGCTATCGTTTTTAGTATTTTGATGGCGTGTAGTTGCGTGAGGTAATAGAGTATTCCCTCCAGAATCCAGATTGTGCTTTTCTTGGGCTCGAATCCTGATGTCTGGAGCTTTGCGAACCAATCGTCTTCTGACAGGTCAGCTGCCACTCGTGTCAGTGATTTGGCCGTCATGATTGGACGGTGATGGTGATTGGCTGCTGCTGCTGCTGCAACTTCTATTATGGAGGCTTTTGCTTGTAGAATCTCGGGAAAGTCGAGCTCGAAAACGTTACTGTCTTTCAAGCAGCTCAAGCGGTATGACCGTGCGTCCATTCCTGCGGGTCGAGAGGTAAATTTTCGAAATGAATTAGAATAATTATTTGTTGTAATGCTATCTAGATTTGTTAAATGAGTTTGAAATGTATATTTGAATGGTGTTGGTTCTGTTTGTAGATGCTCGTATTTTTTGTTGTCTTGGACAATATGAATNAGGTTAGATTGGAGACCATTTTCTGCAATAAATGCCAGGGATAATTACAAATATCACATTTAAGGTTTGAGCTAGTAACAGAAAAAACCCAGCCCACTTTCAAAATTACAAGAAATGCCCCAGAGGTTTGGTTCAGGGTTGATGTTAAGGAAGCTAATAGCAATTTTTCTATCGACGTGAATTTGCTTATCAATGAGGGTTAAATTCGACAGTGAGATGCAACATCTCGTAGGTACTTTTTGTAATTTTGGGTAGAGGGTACTTTCTATAGTATACTCCAAATACTATGCAAGGCGGGTTTTTTTCGCTTCTTTGTGTTCAGCCAAAAGAGTAGAGGAATGGTGTTAACGGGGAAAGAGATGGTGACTAATTTTTGTAGCCTTTGTAATTTTAGGGAGTGTAACAAGTAACAACTTCTGTTGCCAACAAAAATGTCGTGATGATTATATGAGTAATCAGCGACTCTTCTGTTACATATTGTTAAAACTTTAAGACTGAAAGCTAGGTAATTTTCAAAGATATTCCAAAATACTAGAAAAGGTTCCAATGATAAATGTCATACGTCGAAGGAGCTTGAAAAGGAAAAGACAAATAAGATCTGAGCTTGCTAGGCAGTATTTTGCCTAGTTGGTTACAAATGTGTATCCCCTATATAAGACTTGCTTTACATTATAACCGAAATTCGACTAGAAAGGTTTCAATGATAAATGTCATATGCGAAGGAGCTTGGAAATAAAAAGACAGCTAAGATCTGAGCTTACTGTGCAGTAATTTTGCCTAGTTGTTGATGACAAATGTGTATCCCCTATATGACTTCCTTTATATCCGTGACAAAATTACAAATTTACTTCTTGAGATCTTAACCATCGTTTTCATATATCAGACTCCTCCTCATCTCATGTCAGGTTAAAACTAAAGACGACATGTTTGTCGACCCACATGTAATTTCTTGGAGGTCAGATCTCTTGAATGTTCTGGAACTTTTGTTTTTTATTTTCTTGTCTGATTAAAGTTTCTTATATCCATCAAGTAGCAAACTTTGGAGAAATCACCTCTGCCAAAAATNCATAAAAAAAAAAAAAATAAATAAATAAAAAAAAAATCTCTTTTGAGCTACAAATGTACCTGCACCCAGTAGAACAACCTGGGCCCCACAACCGTCGGGCGAACTCAGAGCCTCCTCGAGTTTCGAGTCGAACCAAAGTGTCCGAACGGCGAGAATCACCCCTGAAATCTCCCGTGCATTGTTGAGCCGGTCCCTCTTGATCTTCTCGTGTGTGGCTCTGAGGTGGCTCTCGCCTGCAAAAAGCTCGGCTAAAGGGTCGTTGATCACCCGCCGCCACAATGCTCGGCCGGCCGCCGTCTGGCAGGCAGACCTTCGGGTCGGATCCCACTCGGCCTCGATGGCCGCATGAAGGGCTCTCAACGTGCCGCTGCTCAACAACTCAGGTAACTCGAGTTCTGTCCCGGGCCCGTTTTCACAATTCGTCATTTTTTTCTTTTATTTTGATATTTTTCTTTTCTTATCTCAAGAGATGAATGAGTTATACACTCGATATATAAGCTGGTTAGAACTTTGGTAGGGATAAGAAAAGGAGAGCCACACACTAAGCAAAACTGGGTGATCAAGTGCATATCTGGAAATTTAAAATCTGTTTTATTTTGCTTTTTTTGAAGGGAAAAGAGAAGGTAATGAGAGAGTCCACGATCACCACCAATTCATATCCTCTCCTTCTATATATGAAAAGGTCCTCCTTTTTTCTCTCTTTCTTTTTATTCCCCTTTCTCTAAGACTATTTCTCTATGTGGGTCCACATGTCTTTATAGCTACGTACAATTTGTTAGGCCAAAAAAAATACAGTCTAAATGCAGGTTTTAAGTCATTTTAATGTCCACGTCCTCTCATAAAGACCTCAAATTAAGACTAGTTTGCGGAGTTAGAAAAAAAAAAAAGGTCACGTCCTTAAAAACTCGAGACTATTCACTATATATATGGAAGGTTCGACCCTACTGACTTCAGCTCACACAGGGATTCGAATCATCGGATCAACACACACACACATGTGTGTGTGTGTGAGATCTAACGGTTGGGATCATGGGGTGGGCAGTGCCTACACCGGTAGTCTCGAACGTTCCTATTTATAGTTTTATATAAAATTTCAGTGTGTTTGAAACTTGGAACTGAAATTTTGAGTTTGAGAGCCATATGTGTTGATTGATAGGGTAGCATAGTAGTTGCAATCCAAAAATAAAAATAAATAAAAAGTGGCTGAAATTGAATTTCACCTGGATAATGAGTGGTACTTCTGTTGTTCTAGTCATCTTTCACATGATTTCAGTTGTGTATTTTTCTTCATTTTTTTATTTTATATTCTATTTTGTACGTTTGCTTGTTTATTCCATATGTGCAATCGGCCAATCTGTGTATTGGGTTCGAGCACTTGTCAATTTGATTTGAACACAAGACAAGTCATGAATAGGATTAGAAAATTTGGTGGCCTTTCTGAAAATTATTGTTATCGGGTGGCACGTGAATGTCACAAAAATTACTCAAGAAAGATTGAAGAAAACACAAACAGAAACAAAGTTGATTCACATAATTACTTAAGAAAGGTTGAAGATAGAAAACAAAAACAGACACAATAGTTACCTTCTCTTTAAAATAAATTTTGCCCTGTACAAATACACATCTGCCCTGAATATATACCCACATTAATAGCAAATGTCTCTCATAATAGAATTTAAGAACAATTACATATACTAATATAATATAAAATGGCAAATTGCGATTGGAAGGTGCCTTCAGAATTTTGCCCAATGAAATACAGTGGACCCCTTGTTTTTGTTTTGTTGATTGATCAAAATGAACGGTTCTCCCTCTCCCCTGCCAAAACATATCAACTGATTGCCTAATCTCTAATAAAACTTGGAATCTTTCACTTCATTCCCAGTTCCCACTACTCTTTAGCTACCAAGAACACTCTCACTCTCTCCCTCACACACACACACACTCTCACACACAAATTAGAATTTCCAAAACCAAATTTTGNCCTCTTCATCCACGGCCCCACCGCATATTCCTCCGGTCAAAAACCGCCCCGTCAATGCCGGTGATCCGACCCGACTCCCCCTCCGACCCTCCCCCCTTCTCCTCCTCGTCCTTCCGACAGGCGGCCCTCCTCCTCCTTGTCTACCTCGTCCTCGGCGTCTCCATCTACTCGTCCTTCCCCGACCAATTCTCGGGCATCGAGACCCACCCGGCCATCGACGGCCTCTACTTCACCATCGTCACCATGTGCACCATCGGCTACGGCGACATCGCCCCTTCCACCCCGGCCGCCAAGGCCTTCGCCTGCGCCTTCGTCCTCGTCGGCTTCGGCCTCGTCCACGTCCTCCTCACCCGCGCCGTCGTCGGCCGCGTCGTCGAGCTGCACGAGCGCGCGATCCTCCGCGCCGCGGCCCACAACAGTTACGTCGTGGACCCGGGTAAGGGGGGGCGGCTGCGGATCCGGCTCAGGGTCGGGCTGGCTGTCGGGTCCGTGGTCGGTTGCGTCGGGGTCGGCGCGGGAGCCCTCCGGTGGGCCGAGGGGCTCGGCTGGGTCGACTCGGTCTACCTGTCGGTCGTCTCGGTGACAACCGTCGGTTACGGGGACAGGGCCTTCGCGACCGCGGGCGGGAGGGCGTTTGCGTCATTTTGGCTCCTGTTCTCGACTTTGGCTGTCGGGAGGGCGTTTCTGTACCTCGCGGAGGCGCGAGTCGACAGGAGGCACCGCCAGGTGGCGAAGTGGGTGCTCGGCCGGGGGATCACGGTTCGCGACGTGCTCGACGCCGGAGCGATCAACGGCGGGGTACACGTCGATCGAGGGCGGTTTTTTATAAGCAAATCGGAGTATGTGATCTACAAGCTCAAGGAGATGGGGAAGATTAGCGAGAAAGATGTCGTGCAGATCAGCGATCGATTCGACCGTCTCGACCGAGCCAATTCCGGCAAGATTACGCTGGCTCATTTATCCGACGCTCGTCGATTGTAGCGCGCCTTAATATTGTGAGGTTAATTCATTGATGATTTGCAATCTTCTTTCGTTCATAAATATGTTGGGGGCACCATACCCGTTTATGAAAAATGTGTCAACTTAATCTTAACAAAAAAGAAGTTCCTAGCTTGTGTCTAGTGACAAAACTCGTTGTTATGAGCAGTCTGAGATGCTTTATTGTTGGTTGCTCACTGGTTGAATTGTACAACCAAAGGGTTTCGATTTCAAGCTTCATTGTGTGTTATTACTTTATTATTAGATAGCCTTATTGGTTGAATTCTGCTAAGTAAGGTGTAATTCGTCTATTGAGGGCATATATATACTTTGGGCAATGAATTAATGATAACTGGGTAGTTATATGCTGGTTATTATAAAGCAATAATATTGTATGATTAGTATAAAGCAGTGTATGTTGTACTGAAATTCTATGACGCCCATATGGACACCATATGGTAACATAATCTTCACGATCTAACGCCTAATATTCATTGTGGAATTGATAGAATAGATATTAGGCATTGGATCGTGAGATTATGGCACCATATGGTGCCCATATGGGCGCCATAGAATTTCTGGTATATTGTATACCCTCTGTTTTGTTTCAATTTTTCATCAAATGTGTTAAAATAGTTAAATTGCAGTTACTGATCCAAAATTGAGTAAGAACACATTTGACTAAGGTATTGAAAAAATATATGAAATTAGTTAATTAGTCTTGATTTTGCAAAAGTAATATAGTATATAGATAGAATGAAAAACAAATGTGACATATTGAATGGAGTACTGTAAAATTTGCAAAAGGGAAAGCGAATTTTGGGGAGAAATTTCTCCTTCTGGAATTTTTCATAATCACCGATTCAAATTTTTCCTTCTAGAGCATGTTTGTTTACAAGAATTTTTAAAAAAAATTCAACATTTTAACTCAACCATTATTTTTTAATTCAACTTTAACTCAACCCCACTATTATCAATATTATCAATATAATTAAATAATATCAATCAATCATTCATACACTCAACATCAACCTTAATTCATTATTCATCCACTCACATTATTTTAACTAACTATCACTTCAAATCATCCATCTCATACTTTACATCAAATCAATTTACTTTATTTTATTTTAAATATTATTTTAATATACCCATTAACACCTAACCATACCACTTTTTTCAAAAATTAACCAAACTAAACCAAAAAATTTAAACAAAACAAAAAAAATTCATAAACAAACATGCTCTACATTTTATACCATGCACCACGTCACACAGTACAAAAAACCACGTCGCATGGTATTAAAACTGTAACTAATAAAATTGCAACAACTAAAACACGCTAAATGAGAAACAGAAAAGAAACAAAAGAGAAAACAACAAAATATAGAGAAAAAACTAATGCATGCTGAAACTCAATATAGCAACAAGTACTAATCATAACTTCTCGACTTTGGTTACTGCAAAATAATATATATTTTCTCTTCTTCAATTTTTATTAAGAAATTTTGTGAAATAAATGAGTGTAAATAAACTGAAAAACTAGTTTGTTCAAGAAATAAGTCTTATATTTTCCAAGGTACAATATTGCTTTTATCTTTTTGTCTTTGACTTCTCAATTGAAGAATCTTATCACTCTTTATCAGTATTCTCACAATTTTATAAATGTAAAATTAAATAAATAAGTGAGACATTACATTCCCTATTTCTAGCTCATTTGAAAAACATCGATTAATTTTTAAGACATGGAATTTTACACCTAGATTTCACTGATGAATTGTTATGAATGTTTTCTCCATACATAAAATTGGCACTCTTTAATGAAGTCATTACAATTTACTCAATAAGATTAAATAGATGAAAATGCGAGTATGAACATTTGCAAATTAGATTGTCCTTGGGTAAACGGATATGCATATTTTCAAACGAAGAGTATCATACTTTAAAAATAACTAGTGTACTCCATGTGCGTTGCACGATAGGGTTTATTCCTCAAACCCTTTTTTCTAAATTTTATTTTAAATATTTTTCCTTAAAAATTAGTCATTTGATTATAATAGAAAAAAAAAAGAGAAATACAAAGTATAAATAAAATAATATGTTATTAAACAACATTCTTGGTTTGGTAATAGTTTAAGTATTTGATATTTTTTATTAAATTTTAATCACCTTTAACGTAGAAAATTCACGTTTTAGAAGCTCACAAGACTTGTCAATCATCCGTTCACACTCTTTATCCCAACATATGAAAGTGCCATTTGGAATGATTTTAATCATAATAATAATAATAAAATATGAATAACATATATATGGAATGATTTTATAAACTAAAATTGGAATATATTTTTTGTATTATAGAATCAAAATTAAGCATTTATATTGAAAAAAAAAATTGAAATCTAACATTTTATATGGAAATGAAATTTACTTTTCTAACTGTATTGTACTTAAATTGTGCTATCTTATGGAATTAGATTTTAGCATTTATATTGAAAAAAATAAGAATCGTAATCTAATATTTTTTTTTTTCGCAAATGAATTTTACTTTCCTAACTGTAGTGTACTTCTTTTTAGAATTTGAGTTTTTTCAAATCAGTATCAATATGAGAAGAATCGTAACCTTTTTTTTTTGCAAACGAAATTTACTTGCCTAACTGTAGTGGACTTATTTTTTTTAGAATTTCATTTTTGTCAAATTATTATTAATATGATTTTCAATATCTTCAAATTATACTTATTTTAGGATTATTACATATCCGATTTTTAATTGGTGAGATTATAAAAAATCTCAATTGTCCAATTGTTAATTATGTATGAAAATCGTGCAAATGAGTTTTACTGCGCCTAGGGTACTGTTTTAGAATTATAATAATGTTAAATTGCTATCGATTAGAGCTTTAAAAACACTTAAATTATGCTACCTTATGGAATCAAATTTTAGCATATGTATTGAAAAAAATAATAATCAAAATCTAATATTTTATATGCAAATGAAATTTACTTCCTAAATGTAGTGTACTTAATTGTGCTACCTTATGGACGTGAATTAGTTTTTATTGTGATTATGAACCAAAAATGAACAAAAAGAAAAAAAAGCATATGTGTAATTGTATTTTATTATTGAAAAAATCGTATTTTTTTATAATTGGTAATCTTTTATTGAAATTAACTAAATTCATATTTTTCTATTGTCAAGAAAAAAAAATATTTGAAATAAATTGATAGTTTAAATTAACAAAAATTCAGATTTTTTGATCGGCAAGCAATCGGTTTTTAAAAAATAAATAGCATAAATATATCCGATAGACACAAAATTAGGCCCGATTTTGTTTCCAAACCGACCCAATGTTTACATTTTAAATTTTTTTTAAAAAAATAAAGATATCACATAGGCGTGATTATTCAAATTTTGGCAAAAAAGATTACTCAATTGAGTAAATATTTTAGACGAGAAACCAAGAGTTTTTTTTTTTAGTTACTATTTTAAGTAAATATCATTGTCTCTTTATATACTAATACATAAATTTATTATCTCATCGATTATATTCAAGTATTCAAATTGAAAATGTATGTAATCTTACTCAATGGATTTTTTGTTCAATCCCTGTCTGTAAGTTCAACTAATATGAGTCCCGTGCAGTGCACAGGTAAGAGATATTCATTAATATTTATAAATTAAAAATTCTTATTAAATAATATTTATAAATTAAAAATATGAAATCAATATGCAATACAATTTACCTATATTAATTTATTGAAAATGTTATATAAAGTTTAAATTGTGCAAAATTACATAAAAATGTCTATTTAGAATTAGTACACAACCCATGCGGTGCACATAACTGATAATAAATTCCATTATATTTGTTTCAAAATAAGTGTCATTTCAAAAATTTTATTCAGAAATTCGATTTGACTATAATGTGATTCCATAAAATAGTTATTTTGCTAAATTTTATCATATATTTAACAACCTATGTGAATAATAAGTATAAATATAAAATTTATATTGTTTCATTACTTAAAATAAATTTATTTTTGTATAAAATATTCAAACAAAAAATTAAGTAGTTGAATAATTTATTAAAATATAAATATTTGATATTTCGTTTACATCCAAGTTAATATTGACGCGTAAGTTATCGAGTATTTTATTAAACTATAAATAATTGACTATTTCGTTTACGTCCAAGTTAAATCTGACCTGGAAATTATGAATAATTATTTTTTTGATTTTTAATTTTAAATAAAAATCTTATTTTCAATATATTATATATCAAGTTTAAATAATGCAACTAATAAAGGTAATAGTCGCAAGTTTTGTCAATATATTATATTCTAAGTTCTAATAATACAATTAATAAAGGTAATAGCCGAGAGTTTTATCAATATATTATATTCCAAGTTTAAATCATGCAACTAATAAAGGTAATAGTCGCAATATTTGACCAAAATGATTCTGTAAATTAATTACATTGATTTAGGTGAAATTTTTCAAACTTTGGCTAAAACAATTATCCAATTTAGTAAATCTGAATTTTTAGGTGGGAAACTAAATGTTTTTGATTTATTTATTTATTTATTCTTAGTTACCATTTCTAGTAAATATCATTCTTTATATATTAATAGATTTATTAAACTATAAATAATTAACTATTTCGCTTACGTCCAAGTTAATATTGACACGTAAGTTATGAATAATTATTTTTTTAATTTTTAATTTTAAATAAAAATATTTTTATTTTTTTAATATATTATATACCAAATTTAAATCATGCAACTAATAAAGGTAATAGCCACAAGTTTTGTCAATATATTATATTTCAAATTTAAATCATGCCACTAATAAAGGTAATAGCCGCAATATTTGACTAAAATGATTATCTACATTAACTAAATTAATTTATGCGGGGTTTTTTTATATTTTGGCTAAAAAATTACCCAATTTATTAAATATGAAATTTTAGTCTGAAAACCAAACGTTTTTTTTACTGATTTTTAGTTACCATTTCAAATAAGTATTATTGCATATAAATTTATATATTAATAGATATATTAGATTCCATTTACGATGTTATGATATGTTGTCCGAGACTTAAGGATACTTAGACAAATTATTTGAAGAAATTTACCCCACGATGCACATAATTTATATAATTTTTTTTGTACAGCACATAAATTATCTAATATATCAAATACTATTTTCCTCTTTTATTTATACGATGAATACTTAAATTTAAAATTCATGTTTTGTTTATTGTTAATCAGATGCATATTGCATAATTAAAATTTAAAAAGGTACGGAGGCGTTTTTCACGGGATACAGGCCAAATTTTGTGCGACTTGTTTGCCTTTGAGTAAAAGTTTTAAGCGCGATGTTCTGATAATTTTCAACAAAAATACTATATTTAGTAATCTTAAAATTTTAAGAGGGAATCTAAATGATTTTTTAGTTACTATTTTGGGATTATTTAGGTTGCCTTTTTATATATTAATAGATATAAATAAATATTATTTAAATATTTAGTTTTCGTTTTAGCAAAAAAGTCGAGTGTTGTTAGCCAACACATTACCCCTTTGTGTTTTCCTCTTGCGAAGAAAATAATTTTGAGATATTTCATCGAGAAGTGATTTTTTTTTTTTAATGTAAAATTTGTTGAAATTCGTTATTCATGAACAAATTCAAACTAACAGTAAAAATAATAATGATATAGAAAAGTCTTCCTATCTCTATCGAAGTTTTAGTTAGTAAACATATTCTAGATCAAGCGGTTGGTAATAACTATAACTTGCATCTTCCAACACTACTAAATTTCATTTTGAGTATCACAATACACAATTAGCTAACACTTTTTGCAATATTTTATTTTTAAAGGAAAAGAAAAACATTTTTTTTTTAATTTCAAAAAGTTGTTATTATAATTATCAGACTTCCAAAACATAATTATAATGTCTCATGAACGCATTGAAAAATGCTTGAATTTCATCCTAATTAACATTCATCACAATTCACTTATGAAAAGCAAAAAGACATACGCTTAATAACCTGCTTGTTTCTTTCTCCATTTATGAACTTTTGCCTTTTTGCAGCGAAATAAAATGCAATTCGAAATTTCTATAATATAAAAAGTTACAATCATATCTAAACCTTACGCGTGCGTAGTTTTTTTGAATAATCTTATGATTAAAATACACTCAAAATTGTAAATAATGAACTTTAAATTACATTTTATTTAAAAAAATATATATATCTCAGTGGAGAGCAAGGTTTTCAAAATCGAGATTCTAAGTAGAATCGTTTTGTGTGCAGAATCGGAATTGTAGAATTGGAATCGTAAAATCGTAAGACTCTACTCAAAACGTCTAAAATTAATTATTTTAACAAGTTTTATGGTAATCATCAAGAATATGTATCAAAATACTAAAAAAAACCACCACTTGTTTTTCAAAATATAAAATATTCAAATTTTAACACTCTGCGCGTTCAAATTTCAAAGTTAGCACTTACAAATACATAGACACAGCCATTCAAACGTCACATATAGTCCAAACTCTAAAGTCAGAACCAAAGTCACGGCTATCAAGGCGTCAACAAAAAATTCAATCTTCTTAGTTCCTAAAACTGTGATTCTGTGAATTTCCCCTGTTCCAACAATGATAAAAACAAATTACAGGGAGATAAGTAGGGATAAATGGTTACCTCTAAACGGGAGAAAAACAAAGCGATGAAGCTTAATTGCTGAGAAGTCTGCTCCGACGAAGAAGACGCAGGCGTCGAGGCTGAGCCATTTTAACGTCGAAGACTATCACAGGCTACAAGCGTGCGAACTGTGGATTATGGAGAATTGGAGGCCAAAGAAGAAGAGAGAGAGAGATGGATTTGAGTTTAACGTCGGAGTACGACGGTCGGCCGGCGAGGGATGGAGGTGAAGAAGTCGCGATTTGTGACAGAAGAGCAGAGGGAATTAGGGAAAAATGAATTCAAATTAGGGAATTTAGGATTTTTGGGTATTTTTTAAATTTATTTTAATTAATTTGTTTTAGATTGGGCCAAGGGAAGGGAATATTTATGCTTCTTTGGGCCAATTTGTGTAAAAAAAAATCAAAAGAAACAGCCCAAGTGCGTAAACGCAGCCCAATTTTAAAATCTGGTTCATTTTTTGAGTTTTGCACAGAATCGGTCAAAGTCGTAGAATCGGTCCGATTCTACGATTTTGACCGATTCTACCGATTCTGCAGCGACTTTACATGCCTTTGCGATTTTGAGCGACTTAGAATCGATTTTGTGACTTTGAGTCGTAGAATCGGCGATTCTACGACTCAAAGTCGCGATTTTGATAACCTTGGTT